AAGAAGAACGCAAAGGCTGGCGTGAATCTTTTAATACCTGCGCTAAGAGCAAAAACAAAGAGCTGCTCTGCCTGTCAAGCACCGACCTCCAGAAACAGATCTATGGCAAACTTAGCCAGCACACGTCTTTAGCTAACACTGTACAAAAGGTGTGGATCGGCATGCGGCGCAGCTCGCTGAACGGGGAGTGGTTCTGGGTGAACGGGCACAGCGTCAACAGCACCAACTGGGGTGGCGGTGAGCCCGGTGGGGTGGAGGAAGGCCAGTGCACTATCATGCGTCTGGGAAACGGCACGGGCGTTGAGTGGAGCGATGACGATTGCTGCATGGGTGCTCATTACATCTGCTACAAGGGGCCGGAGCTCTTCCCCATATAGGACAGGAAGTCTGCAGCTCTGCACTGTCATTAGTTTCACTGCACATCCTATTCACATATAAGCATGCTGTAGCTTTCACATGAATATTTTATGTCTCTGTAGAGAAAAACATGTACTCTAGTTTAGTCTGAGGGCTTCGTCACCGCACACGCTCTGCTTGGTCAGACACCTGAACAGCCAGCAGCATCCGTGTCCTGAAAACCGAAGCAAATCTGTAACGAAGCATTTAAGAACGTTTCACTTTGCAGATGATGCTCCTGCTCATCTGACTGGGAAATGTTACGATCGTTGGAAACCAGTATGCAGCATCACTGGTTTCCTGTTTGATTGTAATCGTCTGAGAAGAGTGCGAGCTGTTATTTGTCACTATTTAAAGTGTTTGAGCTTCGTGTGTTTGATGGTAAATGTGTAATAATCAGCTCTACAGAAGCTTCAGCAGAGTGATGCTAACTCATATCCACTGTTTGCTCTTAGATGAAGGTTTCTGGGATAAATGATAAATAAATAAATCAGCCGTCTGCTGCTGATAGATACTTTTCTATAATAACTGAAGATGTAAATTCAAGTGTGATTTTATTCTTTAAGGATTCCTAAACCGAGCTGAATGAAAAGTTCACAGGTAACCTCGTCCTCCTGATGCTTTATATTATTTACCGGTTTGAAGTCGACTCAGAGTTTGCATGTTGAACTGTTGAATCTGATTGGTCAGAATCATCTATGCACCAGTTTTATTGTAACAATGATTATTCAGTCAATCATGGACTCAGTGACATATCAATAAATCTGTTTTGCTGTGACAAACTGGACGCTGTTGGTCTTTTATTTGTTCCCAGTACAGAAACGTCCAAAACGATTCACATCTTTACACCTTTAAACTCTAAATGTTCTTTATTGTCAGGCGAAGAATTTAAAGACTTTAGTAACTTTACTGTTAAATGGATTTAATGTCCAACAACAACATTAATGAGCAAATTTCAACAAATATTAAGTTTGCAGATGATGTGCATCAGTTGTTTCAGACTTTATTTCCTTAAGTTTCCTGTAAAAACCTGAAATCATTTGGTAATTAAAGCAAAAACAAAGTAAACAATTCTCCTTCTACTTAATTCTAGTGGATTTTATTGCTTAAATAAAGAAACTTTCAGTAAATGCACATCAAATGTGGCTAATGAGCAAATAAGTCAACTTCATTTCGATGTACTCTCAGCCGCCACTTTATTAGGCACACCACACCCATTTTTGCTTCATGGCACAGATCTGTGCGGCGATTACGATCCGTGATGATGTGACAGCTGAGCACTCATCAGCGCCATGTTCACCCAATCAGCTCGAAGCAGGAATCATACATAATTTACTGGCTGTTTGATCAGCTGATCACACTGTTCTAACTCAATGATTACATATACTTTCTCATGATTATATGACTGGCATCAGTCATTTCCTCCAGCAGCTGAGCCCCTGCAGAGCTCCGCCCTGCACCATCCACACCCCCATCCCCACCAGCAGGAGGACTTTTGCCCCCAGAGACACTGACAGGAGGAGCAGGAGAGGAGGTGAAGCCCCGGCCAGAGAGAGAGGGGGCTGGGGGGGCAGGACATACAGGGTGGCCTGCTCTTTACCCAGTGGGTTGGAGGTGCTGCAGGTGTACTGTTGGCCTGGCTCCACGTCTCTCAGCTGGCTGACGGTGTGGTAGTGGCCGGTGGAGCCCTGAGCCAGCGGCCTGAGCAGAGAGCCCTCCAGCAGGTCGTCCGGGCCGAGCCACTGGACGTCCGGCAGCGGGGAGCCCTGGACCCGACACAGCGCTCTGTAGCCGGACTGCTCGGTGCCCTCCACCGACAGGCCCAGGATCTTTGGAGGAGCTGGAGGAGGAGGAAGAGGAGTCAGATGCTGTGGAAGCCTTCATGCATCTTAATCCTACTTCACAGCCGCCGAGATTAAAGGTTCTAGCTGCGAGGTAACTGTTGTAATAGAAAATCCACCCTTAAAATCAGCTGTGTTTCAAAAAGCTTCACTACACCAAGCTGCTGAAGAACAAGTGCTAAACTGTTTCTGGGTCAGCTGTGAGTGATGTGGGCGGTACCTTCCACTCTCAGTCTGGTCCCCATCTTGTCCTCGAAGCTGATGTGTTCTCGTCCTTGAACCTCCACTCGGCAGTAGTAGCGTCCGTTATCCTGCAGGATGGTGTTACTGATGCGCAGCGACAGGTCGTGCTCCCTCGGGTTTCCCTCCAGCCGATAGCGCTGGTCCTGCTTCGGCCCCGGCTCACAGGTGGGGGCTCCGGACCGGCTGGTGCAGCGGTACAGGACGGTGGCTCCCTGCCCGTGGCCCAGACGCCACATGACCTGCAGGGAGGAATGCTGGGAGTGCTGCGGATGGCCGAAGGTGCACGGCAGCACCACCGGGTAGCCCTCGATGCCTCGTACCTCTGGCTGAACCGTCACAAACCAGCCGTCTTCTGCAGAGCTGAGGGCTGATGGGAAAAAAGTAGTTCAAGTAAAATCTGTTATAAGTAGCAGGATGTTGCTGTTGTTGCTGGACAAGCCCAGAAGAAGCTTAAGCTTCATTGTTTGCTGATGTCACCTGACAGGCAGCTGTTATGCAGCCACCTACCACTAGCTGGTGCTGTAGCTGCAGCAGGGTATCAGTGCTAAATGAGCTGTTGGAGTCCCTGAACTCTGTAATGCTGTTAGCAAAATGACCAACAGCACAATGATTCATGGTGACTGGCCTATGAGTGTGCAGAGTCGTGACCACACCCACTCACCGTCTGGAAACAAGGATACAAAAGCTCCCTGCAGCTTTTCCTTAAACCTGAATCACTGTGAATCGTTGTGCTTTACCCTCCTTTGTCACAATAATCTAACATCATTATTTTACTTAATGAGACATGAAAACAAAAACCGTCTGAAAGTTCACAGAGATCAGCTGACTTACAGACCTGTAATCAGACTTCTTAGAACCGGAGCAGTCGCCCCCTGGTGGTCATTACAAATACAAGTTTGAGGCAGTTTGTGAAGCACTGGTGTGATTCAGAGACACAACAGACGCACAAATGGCAAATAAAGCACACTTATTATACATTTGGCTCATTTTTAAACTACTCATCACTTTTCTAAAGTTCTGCTGTTTCTCTGAAAGAATCTGTGAGGATGCTTCTGTCTGTATTAAAGCAATGACATCACATCCTGGCACATTAAGACAACGTGCGTAAATCAGCTCACCTCGTGTGACGGACAGCAGCAGAGTCAGAGTGCTGCAGAGCAGCCGGGCGTCCATGATCCG